TATATTTTTATTACTAAAATTACAATCACCGCGGACTAAGGTATTCTTAGTCTGTGCCACATATTAAGATACCTAGTACGTAATAATTTAATTAAATTAATATTTTTTAAAGGTATTCTGCATTTAAAATATTGTCTGTCTTACGCGTGTTCATACCACAGAATAATATTCGTACTCAACGATAATAGTGATAACACTAACAATCTGTGTAGTGTGTGATAACGTCATGCAATAGAATAACATCATACCGTGCAAGTTTGAAGTTAATATTTTTAAAAACCCCAAACTATTAACATAAAAACCCAATTCATTTTTCAATTTTTAATTTCTTACACAATAATATAATAAACGACTTGAGTTCGGTTTACATTTCAAATTTCAATATTAATTAGTGCACTGTGACAAAATGGCTTGCCGAAACGTCAATGTTCAGAATTTGTCAAAACTTGTCAGATATTTTTCACAAAAAACCACCGAACAAGGTAAGTGTTACTCCAGATGACATTGGTGAATGATAATTTTAATTCAATGAGACAAATATTAATATAAGATTCACTATATTTATATCTAACCTAACATTGCAAGCTGAAATATATTATGTGGCCTTTGACTTTAATGAAAATTGAAAAATGTATTATCAATATAGGTAATGAACTGATGACTTTAATAAAAGATGTCTTTTTCATTTTTTAGAAACAAAAGTTGCTTCCAGAATGGGATTTTTAAAAGGTAAACCAGTGTATTTAGATGCACAAGCCACAACCCCTTTGGTGAGTATTATTGATGTTAAAATAATTTCCAGGCATGGGTAGTACCTACCTAGTAATAAAGGGAAAAGTATTCCATTTTCGGCTATCTCCCAATATGCGGTCTACCAAAATGGACGTGGTCTGCCGTAATAATATTAAAAGTATAAAAAAAAATTCAAATTTATTAAGAAATTCATTTATAATTGTTATACTATAATTTACATTAAAACACAGTTTTCAAATAGCTGTTAAAAGTATAAATAAAATATGTTTTGATATATTAAGGATCTACAAAATTATCCACAAACCATAATTTGATATCTCTAAGGAAAGTATCAAAAATGTTATCAGTTTTATTTAATCCTCACCACCAATACTCCGCTAAGTACCTCTCTAAGAGGTTTTCATTAGTACCACACATTTTCTTAACAATTTAATGTCTAAGAGGCTTTTAAAGACTTTCAATTCTTTGCGTATTGGCACCAGTTTCAGGGTCCACAACATTTGTTGAATGATTAACTGTTTCATATACATAGCATTTTTCAGATAAACCTTTATATCCAAACCAGGAATCTGAATGAACTGTATTGTTGCATGATAAAATATATATTGTTATGAACAATTAAGATAAAACATAAATTGGTAGATAATAAATATAAATGGATTCCCAGCTATAAGTAGAACACCATAACATTGATAGACCGCATACTGTACTCATAATTATAGTTAAGGTACCCACACACTGCAGCGGTAGCGGTAAAATTCTTTTGTCTTGGCGGTGGCTGTAAATTGCGTCCGGACTAATTTTACCGCCACCGCTACCGCTGCAGTGTGTGGGGACTTTTACGTAGTACACAAAACAGAGGTAGACCGCATATTGGGAGATAGCCCCATTTTCTTTCCATGTCTGTTTAAATGTATAACTTGATAAATGTTTCAATCATTTTGATTATACCTTCTATTGTGAGATATTTTTATTAATTTCAGGATCCTAGAGTTTTGGATGCTATGATGCCCTACATGACACATAGTTATGGAAACCCACATTCTCGTACACATATGTATGGTTGGGAAAGCGAAGAAGCTGTGGAAACAGCTAGACGGGTATTTTATTTTTATATTATTTTAATTAATTGATTTTTGATTTTAACTTTGAAAATATTCTTAGCATATATCAGACTTGATAGGTGCCAATCCCAAAGAAATAATTTTCACATCCGGAGCAACAGAATCTAATAATTTAGCTATTAAAGGAATTGCTCATTTTTATGGAGCTAAAAAACGACATATTATTACTACACAAACGGTTGGTGTTTCAACTATTCATTTATTTAGTGTATGCCCATCAATACATTAACATTTTATTTGTGGAATAGGAACATAAATGTGTTTTGGATTCTTGTCGTGCTCTGGAAGGTGAAGGTTTTGAAATAACATATTTACCAGTTTGTTCTACGGGTATAATTTCCCTTGATGAACTAGAATCTGCTATACGCCCTGATACTGCACTTGTTTCCATCATGGCTGTAAATAATGAAATTGGAGTAAAACAGCCAATTAAAGAAATTGGTGAAAACAATTTTAAAAATAAAATTGGTAAAAAAATGTATTAATATTAATTAAATTATTTTTTTAGGAGAATTATGCAAGTCCAAAAAGGTGTTTTTCCATACTGATGCAGCTCAAGCTGTTGGTAAGATTACTGTTGATGTTAATGATCAAAATATCGATCTTATGTCTATAAGTGGACATAAGTTATATGGACCAAAAGGTATAAAATTGAAAACTAGTTTTAATGTTGTATAGATATTTATAAAATGTATATTTTTATAAAAAGGTATCGGGGCACTATTTGTTCGCCGTAAGCCAAGAGTACGTTTAGAACCTCTTCAGAGTGGAGGTGGTCAAGAACGAGGTTTAAGGAGTGGAACGGTCCCAACACCAATAGTTGTAGGATTCGGCGAAGCATGTAGAATAGCTAAACAAGAAATGGAGGTTAATAAAATATTTAAATTCAATTAATTTGTTTATTAACTCATTATATAATCATTTACATCATGTTTTATTTAGTATGACCATGCATGGATGATAAAACTTTCAAATTTACTCCTTGAAAAAATTACCAAGAATCTCCCAGAAGTTATTCGCAATGGTGATGATGTTCATACTTATCCAGGTTGTTTAAATTTGTCTTTTGCATTTGTTGAAGGAGAATCCCTTCTTATGGCCCTCAAAGACATTGCTTTGTCAAGTGGTAGTGCTTGTACATCCGCATCTTTGGAGCCTTCATATGTGTTACGTGCTATTGGAGCTGATGAAGACTTGGCACATTCTTCTATTAGGTAGTATGATTTGTCTACTCAGTTTAACCTTACAATTTTATAATTGTATACATATAAATAGAAACTGGTTTTAAGATAAAATTAAAATGTTTTTATGTAGTTTAAATTGTGAGAATTATTCACCATTTGTGTTTTTACTAAAAGATATAATATTTTTGGGGCTTAACGGTATCTATTAAGAAAATTATTAATTTTCTCCTTAATTTATTATTCAGTCAATAAATTATAATATCTTTTTTTTTAAATAGTTTAATATTCTGTTATTATGATTTATGTGTTATAACAACAACAAAAATAACAAATGTATACATTTTTAATGTGTTCTGGGTACCCAATGTTTTCTAGGGGCGAACGCAAGGGAAGTTTTGAGGGTTTAACCCCCCCCCCCTAAAATATTAGGAACAAAAAATAAATTATTTGACCTACAGGTGTATTACTAATAAAAAATTCAAACAAATTCCACGCCCCCCCCCTTAATTTGTTTCCTGTGTTCGCCCCTGACGTTTACCATCCAGTATTCTGAATTAAAGAACAAAAATATTTTGACGTGTCTTATAGAAATAAAATAAATGTAGGTATGTAACAATTCAAAACAAAAAATATATTTACTTACTTATTATTCAATTTTAATGTGTACTGGTTGCCCTCAGTTCTACGTAATAAAGTGTTCTGAATTATTTATCAATTATATATTGCTGTTTCAATATATTTGATCAATAAGTATGGTAAAAATAATTTATCGCACTTATACTGTGGTTATCAAACAATGTGTTCACTAAATTCTTAGTCTTATATGCTTATATTTTACTATCAGTTTGAGTTAATTTATTTAATATTATCTTTTTGTTAGTTTTTATTATTTGAATAATAGAAGTATTCCCAAAATATATTATGTATTAAATATTCACTAACATCTAAAAATTGTATATAAACATTTATTTTAAAATAAAACTTTGAGAAACCTTACCCAAATCATACAGCACACTAGCCCCAGTAAAAATATTTAAAAACATACTAATAGATCTTTATATAACTCATACACCTAATATCTTACAGATTTGGTTTTGGCCGTTTTACAACCGTGGATGAAGTTGAATATACCGCTGAAAAATGTATAAGACATGTTAAACGACTACGAGAAATGAGGTTAGTTTTTCAAATAAATATACTTAACTAATAAATTATAAATACACTTTATTATAATTTACTCTTAACTTTAGTCCATTGTGGGAAATGCATCAAGAAGGAATTGACATCAAATCAATCAAGTGGTCTCAACATTAAAGTTCAACTAATCACATCTCATTAGTGATTTTGGATTAAGTATGTGGTATGTCTGTGATTAATAAATATAGATTTATGCATTGTAGATGTATGATTGTATCAGAAAAATATTATATTAATCAAAAAGAAAATAGTTATAGGGCAGTGCAATTTAATGTATCGATCTTAAATAAATATGATTATAACTATGTTCAAACAATGTATTTATTTAAAAAAAAATAAACTAATTTTGTTTTATCATAATTAAATACCCAAAGAATATTATTAATAATATTTAATAATGCATTTAATGTAACCAGGTCTCCTGCATTTTATGCATGTTTTAACATTTATAGAATATAATTGTGTATGAACCTTTGTTTTTGATTGGAGTTATAGGTATTATATTTTTGATTTTATTTATATTAAAATCTTGTTTCATCACTAAACTTCAAAATGAATTTGATATTTGCAGTACAACTTTAACTTCTTAAAACAAAACATATATTATAATAATGGACAATTCAAAATTAAAACCTATGCCTTATCAGTTTCCATGTAGATCCACATACATCATAGATCTATTACTATTTACTTAAAATTGTCATTGCTTTTAACTTTGTGTACAATGTATCATAATTCATAATATTTTTTATTTATTTACTAAGACATTTTAGTATTTAATTCAAACTGTTATAAGATTTGGTGTGATTTCATCAGCTGTATGTTTACGACGTGGTTTCATAACATTCAAAACATTGACCAATGTTGCTAAACGACCACTGAGTACATTTTCTGGTTCTTCGTCTAGCTTTTCCACAGAAGAATCTAAAAATTGTTGAATAAAATTAGGTAAAAGATAACAATACTAATTTAACACTCATACCAAAATCTGATGATTTTGGAGACTTTTTTAAACTTGGTGAAATAGTTTTAGTTGATGATAGTACTTCGTCAGACTCCTCTACCGTTTCATTGCTAGGAATTTCAAGCTCTGATTGAAGTCGTTTTAGTGCTATGTCATTTTATTGTAAAATTAACACATATACATTACATTAATTACAGTTAATACCTTTTAACAGGTCCATGTTGTCCATTTCGGTATCACTCAATAATCGTAATTGTTTGCAAAATTTTGTAGCAATCTTACGGCGTACAAAATCAGCTTCTATTTCTTGTTTAGTCCTGGGAATTCGAAATCTTACACAACAGCACATAAACACCACTATAAAATATTTTACTGCATAAAAATTTTTAATTTTGTATGCAATTGTGAAATGTACCTAGCGTGAAGAAGACGGTCATGATGAAAAAAATAATGTGCCATACACGGTAACCGTTGTATAACTGTGACTCTAGCCATTCTTCATCAACTTTCAATATGTTTAGGGGATCTGAAGTTGTTGTAGTTTTTAGATCATTTGATGCTATCACCTTAATGAAAATTATATAAGTATTTAAGTATTTTATAAATTACAGTTGCTGTTATTATTTTATATTTTTGTAAATAAATCCACTTGATAAAGTGTACTGAACATTAGCTACTCGCTACTCTATTTATACTATTGTTATTATAAACAATTTATCAATATTATCACATTACAACAAATATTATCGGTCAATTATAACCATATTTTGTTTGAAATAACTCAAGTTTGAAAAATGTTTTTTCGTTTGTGCAATTTCAATCAAACTTGATTCTAATGCTTTCCTTAAATATTTTATAATTGTATTCATACTGTGACATTTATTCAAATGTCATCAATATTGATAGATATGTATGTATGAAGAAAACAAATTTATTTCAGATGAATGCATGGAATGAAACTGCATAAATTTCATACTGCAACAATAACTTAATAATCCAATCATAAAGATATTATTATTTATTAATACTAAATTGTTCGTCTTCTCTAAGTAAAAAAGATAGCAAATAACAATATGCAGTGGTGCTTATTGTTTTTGTGTATGGTACTTTGACTTTTGAGTACCTATTCTTATTATAAGAAAGTCATACGATGGAGCTGCATGCAACAATGTAGTACTTACTTAAGGAAGATGACATCGTAATATTAGGAGATCAACCTAAAATTATGTAGCTATAAAGATCACAGAACGAGTCTGGTTATCAACAAAAATAAAACTGAATACCACCGAATGGCTAATGGGTAGTAGTGACTAGACATGTTATGAACAAGGCAGCTCTAAAAGTAGAGCCCTACCCTATTGAACAAGTAGTTAGCTTAAATACTCTAGAATCAACATAAACATAAAAAAATAACATGAATAACGAAATTTAATTAACAATGACTAATGAGTAAGTACTGTAAATAAAACATATTTTGCCACCCTCGGTGATAGGCTACTATCCAAAGGATCAAACACTGTGCGTCTGTGCTAACGGTACAGTCTTTGTGTAACGATGCCACAATAATAAAACATAATAATTTACCGATGCCTCGAAAGAGAAATGGTATACTTGCTGTATTCGACCGATAGCAGCGTATGCATATGTGAGACATATTATGGTCCATAAGTCACAACACGTGAGGGGGGGAGGTCGAAGATAGATTACTTACTTTCAAAAGAAATGTTTTACAGAAAATTCACGGGGGGCCTGTTCAAATCAAAATGAGAAGTATGAGAAACGAAAAAAACGATGGACTAGAAAATTTGTAAGACAAGCCAAATAGGTATCATATTATTACTAAAAGGAAAAAGGATTTGAGTGGGCTAGGCACCAGTAGAGGCGGGCTGATGAAAGTCTGTTATGAAATGTACTGATCAGAAACCAAACAAAAAAGCAACCAACAAGAAAACTTCGTCAGATATGGTTAGATAGGGTGAGAAAGGATGTCTCAGGTATCGATGAGTCAACAGAATGGATGATGTAATGGACCGAGATAGATGAAGAAGTTTGGTAAAAGCGTACAAAAGGCATCAATATCCTGTATAATACTAAAAAAAAAGTATGGTATTTTGAAAATGCTCATGGTCTCTTGGTTCTAATAATTATTATACAGTTAGGTATAAGTGTATAACTACCTATATATTTTACATTTTTACCCAACAAAAATAATTCATATTTATGATTTACTGTAATATTTATTATAGCCAAAATGGCAAAATATGTCAACACAGTGCGTTCCCTAATCAAAAGATTATGATATATATGAAGTAGAATTGTGTTTTAAAAAATATGCGAACATCTCTCTGAACTAGTTAGGTATACACAACTTCAACAATCACTTTAAATGTAGTTAGCAAAACGAATACCTAAGACTAGATAAAACTAAGTTTTTTTTTTCTATTTATCATAAAAATTAACTAATTAATTACATACCATATTGTCAGCTCGGTACCTATATTTTTATAATTACCTATACGGCTATACAACGAAAAGACTTGGGACGTTCGCATAATTTTCAAATCATATAAAATAGTGTGCAAACTATAAGCTGTAATATATTAACTAAAGCAAAAGCATGGACATTTCAATAGGTATGAACGTATTTTTAGTCGCTTACATCATCTAAGGGCAAACAACTTTTGTATTCACTTTGCCGAGACATTATCCCTGTACGCAGACCATCAATGGACTAAAGTACCCGAAATTTTGGCCTGCAAAACACAAGTACCACACCCATTTATGATAGTTTTTAATTTCGGTGTACAAACGATAAAGGAATGACACGCAACTTACGAAGTCACAAACATGTGCCACACCTAAATACCTATGTAATAACACGATACGGTAGACCTGTAGATTTATCACAAATGCCAATGTTTGTATGTATGTGACAATTGTCGTCGAAAGCAATATCCCATTACTCAAATTGTTATTGATCAAATAGAAATAATTTATTAATTTAAGAAGGAATGTATGATATATCGAATATCCTCATAAACCATTACACATATTATAAAGCCGATAACATATATTTCCATTTTTTATTATTAGGTACCTACAGAACAAAAATTGTCAAAATTACATATAGCCGTATAGGTGAGTTGTATGTAAGTCGTAAGAATACTATAAACATACAATTTACTGAGCAAATATACCTAAATATATGTATATTAGTAATTTAAGGGTGACCCGCTTGGACTAGTGTGTTCTAAGTTCTAACATAAACGATTATTATTCATTATATAGGTAATAGGTAGGTACCTAATTTTAATTGTTGAGCTAAATTTTTATAAAGACTAATAAAAAAAAAAAAATTGGCTCCTGATATAAATTTTGATAGCGTTTTTCGCCGCACTCTTATGTATCATTTAAACAGTTCCGACGAACTATTTTTTGCAATGGGATTGTCTGAATTTCAGACTAATCATCAATCGATCAATAAATTTGTAGCTGCTACCATAATAGTTGGACCGTTATTTATCGACTTGATTATCTTAATTCTCTCGGCATATTACTATATAAACTAAATAAAGTACATAAAAATAATAAAAATTATTTTTTACTCATTTCTTTATACCCGTTTTTTTCAATTGTTTATCATTTTTTTTTTAATTTTAAACAATAGCGACAAGATAATAATATAATAATATTAATGTACCTTTATCAAGCAGTATTGTAGTAATAACTAATTAAAATTAAATGTTCCTAGCTATCTTAAGTTCTTAACTTATATATTATTAGTATAATAGTATATTGTTATTCTAATTTTTAATTTCCATTAGGCACTAATACCTCCTTGAATGCAACTAATAAGTACCGATAGGGTTATTCTTGTGAAACAAAATGCATTATTATTATATCAATGAATATATTTTTTTTTCTTACGTGGGTACTTAGTTTAAAAGTTTTTAAAATGTCAACGATAGCGTATATTTTATAGGATTTTTTAAACATAAATCAGATTTTAATTATAGATCATAGATCAGATTTTAAACAATGATCCAGATTTTTAATTAAATTATCCTATTAGGTAAAATATTCTTATTAAAATATCTATGTAATTGTTATACGTAAGACTACCTTTAGACTTTTTGTATTTTATTTATATACCGACAATACATTTCTTTATTTTGTATGCTGTTTTATTAACAATATTAGTTCATAATAATTGGTTTTTATTTTTTAATGAAGATTATTGTATTTTGATCATTTAATTATTTTAAAATGCTGTTGGACAATAACATAATATCGATGAAAAAAATAGTATTTTTTCACATAGTTGATTTTAATTACTAATTTGTAATTAATATTAATTATAGTCATAAATATCAAACGTATAGTAATTTAACAATTAATTGCTAAATCATATTTACAAGAATATTCTTAATGAATTAATTATACTTAATACGACTAAACAAGATTAGGGATTAAATAATAAAACACAAGTTACAAAAAAATGCTCTGATATAATTTATTATAATGTATAAATTTAATACATTAGTAGGTACGTTGTACGTCATACGCTGACAAAAAAACAAAATTGAACGAGCATTAAAATAATTAATAAATATAGATTATTGTTATTACATTTTATCTGTATTCAACAGCACGATAACTCGAAAATCGATTTTTAATCGCTGGCCACTTGTAGTGTGCGCGCGGGTCTCCTGGACAGTCGAATCGATAATTTATTGGAATATATACAGGATGATTCACCAAACATCTCATCCCTTTTTATCCTTAAACTATTTATATATTTAAATTCCTGTTTTTAATTTTTCAGTATGAGTACCAATTTAAACCCCTTATTTTCAAGTACTCAGATTTGTTGTGCCTGCAATAATATTATTGTTATTACTTATTTGGATAATCACACAAGGAGTGTCCCATGACGATAGAAACTTAAACTTTTCAAATATAGAAATAATCCCACGACGGTTTTAGTACACAATTTAAAGCTTAATAAGTAATAACTTAAAAACAGTTCTGAAAAACGTCAAGGATATTACATAGGTACCAGCTGTTGAGATTCGCATTTACAAAATAAACATCAACTTGACAATTGCTGTGAAAAAATTTTGTTTTTTATCGCCTCTGTTAGTAGCCACCAGCTATATTACCTATTCGAAAACATGGTCTTTAAGACTTCAACATTTCAAAAAAAAAAAAAAAATAGTATTCCATTAAGTTTATTGCTTACAATGAAAGGGAGAAATGGTGGTGAGAGTGATGCTAGCCGAGTCACACCCTGTACGTTATATTATGTTATAACATTCCGGCGGCGACGCGAGACAAACTTTCAGACCGTCTACGTATATACTCGCCGTGCTTGGCTTTCGCGCACGCGTACACACTGTTTTTCCCGCTTCACCCGCGCCGCCATTCGTACCCACCAAAACAACTATAACAACCGCTGTATAGTCGCGCGTCCATGGCAATATTGGTAGCTATTACTGCAAAAAAATTATTATTTATATTATTCTCTGCCGTCTCTGCGCCGTTGCCATAAGCGCTCACTGCAGATTCACAGCTCGCTCCGACGCCGGTCGTTTTCCAGTCTCACAGCCCGGATACATTTCTTCAATTAATAATTTATACCTTTAATATTTTTATCAATACGATTTATTAGTTTTTTTTTTACTCACACACTCTTTAATAACAATCCTCGAGGATAATTATTTCGCTCGCCCACACAGTATAATATATAGGCACCCAATACCCTACGATACCTTAGACTTTTCAGCATCTCGTACGGACGTTAACTGAAAGCGCAGGAACGATGGCGGCATCTTGCAACAAGAATACGGCGAACGCTGGCGGACTCGTCCAGGTGGAAAGCCCGAACGTTCAATACTCCAAAGAGTTCATCGAGTCCACCGTCGATTATCCCATCAACTACGCCGTAAAGGAGAAGGACACGATTGTGGTAAAAACTCATTCTTACGATGCACCAACTAATTATTATCCTTACATATAGGACAAAATATTGTGTAATCTGCCGAATTTTTTTTTTTTGTTTTTTCCCTATGTGTTCAATAAATAGTATAAATCCTTTAAACCTAAGCTTGTGATGGAGTAGAGATTCGGAAATAGTAATTTAAATTTCAACATTATAATAAAACGAACATTGGATAAAATTGGATAGGTACACGTACTTTCCCCCCCAAAAAACCAAGATATCTCAATAAGTAGATACAAAATAAAATACAAAATTAGTCAAATTAGACTGATCAGTTAACAGTTGACAATACAATAAAATATAAGATAAATAAACGACATTATATTTTATAAATGTATAAAGAGAAACATAGCAAGATTCAAAATATCGTAGTTACTATTAGATAATAATAATAAACAAATCATATTAAAATAAAATAAAAAAATCACGAAACACCGAAAATGCGGACTTTTATTTAAGGAGTAATTAATTCAGTAAATAGTTATTTATAGACTACTTTTTTCTCATTAACTACTAACTAGACCTCCATGAATATATATTTTTTTAATATCGTCAAGTTCCGAGTACCTGCAGGCCCTCGTTGAGATTTTGGGAATAATGTTAAATTACTTATTAGTTATTGGTGAATTATAATTGCTCATTATAGGTGGTCATATACCTACTGTATAAAGTATTAATACTGCAGTGTCAGCCTGGCCATGGCCGCTAGGCCCCTTCGTTTTATTTTTGCTTGTCGTGTTCCTGGTCTGTATATTATAGGAAGTACCTATGGACCCCGTCATGTTCTTATCAAAATATTCAATTTTTCTTTATTAGGCTCATGACTGTCCCTATTTTGGGTTTCAGGGTACAGAAAATTTGTTTCCAGAAAAAATATTTATTTAATTTAGGTCCTTTGAATTTCATTATGGGACCCCTCAAAAAACTGATCTATGCAGGGCCTTTGGCGTGCCAGGCCGACACTATAATTCATATATGTATAAGTACGCGTGCTTCCAATACATAGTTGCGGAATATTTTTCAGTAATATGTCCTATAAAAGCGTTTTATTATTTCATATTGATTAACCTGAGTCTTAAATGTAGTCTGACAGTATTAAAATAAATTTATAATAACCTTTTAGTCTTACCGAAAATGCGATTTACTGCTTATAAAAATACCATAAAGTAAAACATTAGATTACCTACCAATACTTCGTAATGACCACTGGTCGATAGGTATAATAATGTACTTAGTACGTATTTGGTATTTATAATTTATATTATATATTTATACTCATTCATCGATGTATTATATAATATATATATATTATTTAAGTTTAGTAGCCTTGTAAGCTTATTTCATATTGATTTTATTTTAGAACATTTTCAACAAATAATATGATAGGTACTCACATTTATATATTACACCTAAATACTAGGAAACGTCGATATTTTTAAAGCTTATATACCAGGAACTGCTTATTTGTAGTAGTGCTGTTAAGAGTTTTATAATTATTTAATATATTTTACTATTTATTACAAAGTGCAGAGCATATTATGAATATTGAATAGTATACATATTATAATATATAAGTTATTACTCTACATTTCTCAGGGTTCTTGCGCTCCTAAACTTTGGCATAAAATAGGACATAAACTATAATTTAAAACTACAAAATATATTCTAGTCATTGCGCCATTACATTAAAACACTTTTTTTTTAATTAGTTCATACTTCACCATAATAACTAAATATTAATATGTTAAAAAATCGAAATCATTTAAAAGTTAAAACGAATTACTATTCATATGAATAAACAGCTTTTAATAAATTAATATTAATTATTAAGAGATTTAGAACCAATC